ATCTTTTTTAATGCTGATGCTAAAGTTCTTTCAGCGTCTACAATATCACACATTAGATTGCCTCCAGATATCTCTTTTACCAATTGACTGGCACCTTCACCAGCAAGAGCTGGTAACGCTGACATACCAAGTGTTTTACCCAATGTCAGTGCAAAAGCTCTTCCAATTGATAAAATACTTGTTAATACACTACCTCCAACTTGTTTTCTGATATAAGTCTTGGCTAATTTGATATCCACGCCTTTGTTTAAAAGACGGTTCTTGTTCAGTCTCTTCACAATATTTGATGGAACATAAGCATAGTGCGTCACTTCTGGAAAGCGCGTTGCTTGCTAATCTACGAACAATTGTCTCTCTCTCATGAAAAGCCGGGAAAGATTCCTGTTTTGGTTTTCTCATAGTTTTACTTTTATCTCATAAAGTTGTGTCATATCTTCTATATATTATATGATCACAATTTATTGAACATATGAAATAAATTTCAGTTAATCAACAACTCTTGTTTCCATTTTGAGCTATGAGCTTTGCTAAATTATCCAACCTTTGTCCTCAAATGATCTCACGTGAGAATCCCGAAACCATCCAATCAGAGCGAACCTTGGCATCTTGATACGTGCCTGCTAACTCGAAAGCTGTCTTTTGTTCTCACATGAGATAAGCAACAGTGTTCACTTTGCCACAAAATTTTCAGTTCCTGTTTGTTTCTTTCTCGTCCGTCTTCTGGAAAGCAGTAAACTTCGCCAGAATCTACTCAGGTGCAGCCGCAGCCGCAAGGCTAGTTGAACTTGCATTCTGCGTGGTGTTTTTAACGCATAAACTACACATATCTTGAAAACATGCCTCCGACTCTCCGAGCAAGGAACGCTTCCACGCCGGCCGATCCCGGCCCTATACCTGCAAATCTGGAACTTGGCAGGCTATACGTAAAGGATTTGTGATCCCTGTGCAGCAGGCTAAACCTCAAAACGACCGGAGAACGTGATGCCCTGATTAAACGAATTGAAGAGGCACGGACTAACACAGACAACCTTCCTGGCACTCCGCCCCCTATTCAAGATGGCGGCGAGCACGTAGAAAATCAAACTGATCAAAATGCCCTCGAACTGCAATTTCAGCAGCTTCAGCGCCAAGTCCAGGAGCTACTGGACAGGGAGTCGCCACAAGACGAGCTTTTATCAGCCACCCAGCTCACCCAAGTACAATCGATTGTTCAAGGGTCACTAAACGAGGCGATCGAGAAAGCCGCATCAGCCGCCGCTCAAGCCGCAGTTAGCGTCTTCAATGGCTCGTCTCCACCAGCTACCACTCCACCGACGCAAGCAGAGAGATTCCTCTGGGAATGATGCACTGCAAATATCTTCACCAGGAGAGCGAGTCCCTCGCGCTCTTTATTTTGGTCTCTTTCATAAGTATTGCCATTCTTTTCTTAGTTATCGCCTTCTCCCAAATTAACTTATGCCAAACCAGTAGCATGCAAGAAAGCCATTAAAAACAAATTCGTCTTGTCGAGCGCTCGCGACCTGCAAACTTCAAACATCATTTTCACCGTTGGTGCAAACAGATAACCATTTGGTGCAAAAGTTTGACACTAGAAAAATATATAAGCTTTCAAATGAAGTGATTTTTTTCGCCCCCTTTTTTGTCTGTTTCTCCCTTTTTGCTTTTAAAATTGTCGCTGCGGCAATGTTGTGCTTACGCAATTGGTTTATATACTAGACCGGAAATAAAAAGCTGACCGGATGTTAAATTTTATGCTCATGCGCAATGCGTTTTGCCTTGGTGTTACATGGATGCACTTGTGCAGGAGTGAGAACTAGGAACAAAAGAAGACTAGAGTGTTCATGTTCAATGCTCGCGTCAAGTTACAACATATGGCGACGAGGATGCGATCACTTTGTGTTATACGACTATTTCGTGCTATTTCCTACACCGTATGATCTTACTTCACTTTGTTTCGTTCGTTTGTGCTTCTGCGCACGTGCTCGCGGGTGTGTTTGCAAATCCCACCATGGCTTCATTGTTACTCGGTTCCGTTGGTGAATTTGATCCATCCTCTGAGTCTTTTAAGGCTTACCTTGAAAGACTTGACCACTTCTTTGTAGCCAATGATATTGGAAAATGTGCTGATGATGCCTCTGCGGCTGTTGTTCTGGCAGCTAATCAGAAAAAGCTCGCCATGATGATCTCCGTCATTGGTAAAAAGACACACAGCACTCTTCGCGATTTGTGCAGCCCTGAGAACCCAAAAGAGAAAAGATTTGAGGCATTAAGTGAAGTACTACAACAACACTTTACACCCAAACGATTGGAAGTTGCCAAATCCTACAGATTTCATCAATGTTGTCAAGAAGAAAATGAGAGCGAGTCGGTTTACAGTGGTCGTTTAAGACATTTGGCCACCACTTGTAATTTTGGCGAATTCATGAACTGCTCGCTCCGCAATCAGTTTGTGTGTGGGATTTGAGACCCTGCGACTTGAAAAAAACTATTGAGTGAAGATCGAACATTTCAAGAGGCTCTCCAAGTGGCTATCACCGACGAAATCGCGGCTAAAGAAACTTTACAAGTCCAACAGCAACAATTGCTTCAACCAGTTAATTCAGTTACGAAAGAATTCTCAGCTTTACCGTCCTCTTCTCATGGAAATTCAGCTATCTAATCTACTTCGCGGCCGTTTCCTAGCCAGATTTCGTCCAGTTTCCAGCCAGCAGCTTCTTATGCTTGTTTTTCACCCTGTAATTCTGATCACGTAAGATCTAAATGCGAATTTAGGAAGGCTGTGTGTCGCCATTGAAAGTTACGAGGACATATTGCTTGAGTGCGTAAGAAAGGTGGAGTAAATGTTATGGGTTTTGAAGAAAAGCCACCTCAGGAACAATTATCTGAAGAAGATGAGTTGTATGTGGTGTATGATATTTATGCAATGTCCAGATCTTAAATTTCTGTCCCTCTGAAGATTGAAGACCAGGATTGTCTGATGCAGCTAGACACTGGGTGAGCGTTAGCCCTTGCCCTGATTACTTTCGTAAAACAAGTTTGCCCAGATGTTGAAATGAAATCTACAAATGTTGTGCTGTCGACATACACAGGTGAGACTGTGCGTCCCTTAGGCGAAGCACATGTGAAGGTTGAGTACATGGGATCACAACAACCACTGCCTTTGCTAATTGTACACGAAGGGACTAGTGCTTTATTTGGTCGAAACTGGCTTACAGATGTCAAGCTGGATTGGAAGAATTTGCTAGGTTTGAATCACGTTGAACTTTGCCATGCCGTTCCTCTACACACCCAGAAACCCTAGGAAACCAGACATTAGCATCATCAGTCCTTGAGAAATATAGTGAATTATTTCAGCCCCAACTTGGATATTACACTGGGGATCCTGTCGTGTTGAATGAATGTAAAGAAGCCAGATTCCATGAAGCCAGACCAGTTCCTTATGCATTACAGTAGAAAGTTGAGAGTGCACTGCTTAAGATGGAAAAAGATGGTGTGATCGAACGAGTGACATCTGCGAACAGTGCAGCTCCAATTGTAGTCGTTGGCAAGAAAGACTTTGAGGACGTCCGTGTTTGTGGAGATTTCAGTGTCACATATAATGCAAGTGCCCGTGTTGAAACCTACCCTATGCCTCAGACACTCAGCTTTAAGAGGATGCACGGTGTTCAGTGTCCTGGATAAAAAGCAGGCCTATCATCAAGTACCGATTGCGAAAGAGTCCCAGTCTTATCTTTAAAAAAAAACTCATTGGGTTGTGTGCATTAAAAAGATTGCCAAATGGCATTCAATCTGGTCCTGCTATCTTTCAGCCAATCATGGATAATTTGTTGTCGGACATACCAAAGGCTGTTAGTCGTTTGGATGATATTCTTGTTGGTGGCACAGGTGAAGAGGACCACCTTCATACACTTTCACTAGTCACGATATATGAAATAAATCATATATGAACTGCGGAAATGAAATGAAAATGAAGAAATGATCGTCGCAGTGAACGCAATTCACGCAATTGTGTAAAGAAGCCTGAAAAAAAAATTCAGGACTTTAACGGGGTTTGAATCCGTGACCTCGCGATACCGGTGCGATGCTCTACCAACTGAGCTATGAAGCCACTGATGTTGGGAGCAGGTCAATTGTAGTGTTCGAGCGACTTCTTAATGCTGGATTCCTACTAAACAAGGCAAAGTGCAAGTTTTTTCAATCATCAGTTGTCTACCTGGGACATGTGATTGATGGAGAGGGCCTACACCCCAGCTGCACATAGTGGATCCCAGTCTGGTACCATTTAAGACAAGACAAGACGAGTTAAGTACACGGCATGGTTGCTTATTATGGGGTGCTCGTGTTATTGTTCCTCCATCGCTCAAAGAGAAAGTGTTGCAAGAACTGCATGACACTCACCCCGGGATCTCTCGAATGAAAGCTTTGGCACAATCTTATGTGTGGTGACCCAACATGGATTCTGTTTCGTCATGTAGCACTTGCCAGTCTATGAGATCAAATCCTTCCCCAGTTAAAATTCATCCTTGGACCTTTCCAGGATGAGCGTGGTCTCGCATTCATGTGGATTTTGCAGGGCCAATCTCTAGCTGTATGTACCTTGTGGTAGTAGATGCTTACAGTAAATTTCCAGAGGTAGTCAAAATGTCAACTACATCAGCTAAAGCAACTGTGACCACCTTGCGTGACTTCTTCAGCAGGCATGGTTTGGCCGAAATTATTGTGTCAGACAATGGGCCCCAATTCACCGTTACAGAATTGGAACAATATTGCACCAGCAATGGAATATTGTACTGTACTTGAGCAGCGTACAAGCCATCTACAAATGGTCAAGCAGAACGTGTCATACAGATTTTGAAATCAGCTATTAACCAAGCCCACCATACTAATGCAGATGTAGACACTGTCATTGCAAATCATTTTTGGTTTACCGGACCATGCCTCATTCCACCACAGGTGAACCACCCTCACTGCTTCTCATGGGCCGGAGACTGCGCAACCGGCTGGATTTGCTGACACCTTCACTTGGAACACATGTGGAGGCTCGCCAATACAGTACCATGGTGAGTCGTACAGCACATAGAGGCTTCTGCAAGTTCAATGCCGGCGATTCCGTTCTAGCTCGAAATTTTGGAAGGGGAGGAAAATGGGGGCGTGGAGTAGTTACTGAAGTCCTTGGGTCTCATCATTATATTGTCAGGGTGGCAGGTAATCTGTGGAAACGACACATAGACCAGCTGCTGAGACACCCTGCAGATGTGGCTCTGACGCGTGGCTTTTTAGCATCCGACTACCAGTCTACGCCGCTTGATGTATCTCCTGATATGGATCAGCCTTATGAGATTGTTTCCCACTCAATTATACCGTCTACTTATATCCCTCCCACAGCAACACTGGTAGTTCAACTGGTAGTTCAACCGAATTCTTTATGTGAATATCCTGTGGATACGGAAAAACGTTATCCTACTCGGACAACCCATAGGCCCCCAAAACACTTGAAAGACTACGAGTTAAAGTGATGGCTGTAACTGACTCAAGACCTTTTGCTTTTTTTATTGTGTATTTTCGCATTCTGTTTTTCTTTAAAAAAGGGGAGATGTTATATTGTGACTTTGTTTTGTTATTGTTGTGTTACATTGTATGAAGTTACGTCATAGTCGTGTTACGTGTAAATGGATGCGCTTGCACAGGGGTGAGAACTAGGAATAAAAGAAGACTAGAATGTTCATGTTCAATGCTCACGTTGTTTCATAATTTCTAAGTTACAACATATATAGTAATTACTGTTATTCTATTGGCTGCTGCATATCCACCGCCATCTGCTATTTTTGCAGCTGAAACTGAACCTCAAAATAGGCATTACACCAATCATAAAATGAACTACTGTCGTTTATAAGTGTTTTCTGGCTTATTTCTCAATTTCTAAAATAAACACGCATTGCCGTACGTTACAGACGCCTTTACAGTCCCTAATTCTTATAAACGAATCGGCTGCTGTTTTTATGGCCTTACAAAGTGCTCTGTGTGTTGCAAAAATTAGACTAACAAGCAAGTTTATGTGCGTTTGTAGGTGAGTGTTTTCTTTTGCTTGATTAGCCGTCGAATGAACATTTTCCTACGTTGTAACCTAGACATGACACTATTGCATGCAGCCACATGGATTTCGACATAGCATGAATCCCCTGATAGAAATCTAGCGCAATGTAATACAGGAAATTGCCTAACAATTGATGTCGTTGATTTATTGCTGAAGAATTTATACTAGAAATGGAGTTATAATTTATCCAATGCTGTGAGCATCAAAGCAAAAGGAAATGGCAAACTTTAATAAGCGATTATTAAGTTGCCTTTATTTGCTTTTAATTGGCTTTATTTGCTGTATACCGAGTTAATGGTGTCTTAACTGTGCGTGTGCAATGCTCAGTTCTTAAAAATGTTGTGCTCTCACGGTAGTACACGAGTAACTCCTGCTATCTCCAAGTGTTTTGTTGACAGTTGAACTGATTATTGCAGCTGATAACCTTGGAAAATAGATATAAATAATTCAGAAAGAAAGTGGGTACCGTTTCTGCTTGAACAAAAGTAGCAATGAAGAAGAGAATATGAAGGCATTGATTCCTTCAAGAGATTGTGACAAGCATTGCTTATAAATAAGCGATCAGTGAATAACCCAGCTATTCTATTTTTGCTAAACATGCAACTGACTGCCCTGGGGTATTGCAAAACTTAGACCCTCGAAAACTAAGATCTACTGCCGTGGTGATTCCCGCCGATAAGCATAAAAAGAGAAATTACTGTCTGTTCCTTCTTCACATCCAACAACTGGATAATTAAATGCCAAGGGAAACAAGAAGTGATAACCAGTTCGGGCCATAGACAATTTTGTCTATATGATGACGTCATCAAAATGTCGTCCTGGCACAATTCTTGAGAACTTATACCCGCTCCAAACTTTTATCCCAGTTTTTTTTGTATACGGCTGTTTGGTCCCTTGAGTCCCAGTTCCCCTGAAAGAAGACAGACGGAGATTCCACTTAAGGCAATCAGAAATAGCGTCGGTTGAAATGTGCCGAAGAAATATGCATTCGAAGTCGAACTGTGGCACCTAAATTGAGCTCGGAAAGGCTGACATGCTACGAAGCAAAAGGAAGTTTGAGGTAGGTAAGATTTTTTTTAGCAAAAAAAAATACTGTGGTATTCTCTGATGATTGGGCTTCAAACACATCGAAGCAGAATTCAAGTGCACGGCGGTTTAGTTCAAGTGCACGCCGGTTGAAGTGTGACTCGTAGTATTGCCCTTTACCGCCATTGGTTGTTAAAAAGTACTAGCGTCTGCTATTCTAAAGGTTCTATTTTGCTCTTCTTTACAGTTGGTGGATAGTCGTGTTATATTCGTTTTACACGTTGGTCTTTCCTCTCTATACATGCAGAAGACGAATTACAAGTCGGCTGTTTAGAAAGAATGGCGTCGTTTGAATGTGGCTAAGAAAGCGTCTTTCCAAGTTATCGGTTGTACATGTATCTTGGTGACATGCTGTGACACGAATGAAAATTGGAGGTTAGTTAAGATGCTTTTGTGACCAGGGTTACAGACATCACATTGCAATAAGGCTTTAGACTGATTTATTGTACAGTCATAATTATTTAGAATTAAGATACATACATAATCTTTCATACATGCATTTTCCTTTAAGTCACACTACCACTCTCTGCATCAAAATCACAAGAACTTTATTCCCTGTATTGATAAATTCCTTACAAAAGAAGTGCAGTAGGAAGCACTTTAAACTACTTTGTGGCTACAACCCTGTTTTGTTATTTAAATAAAAACTCTAAAACCTGCCTCAGTCACACTCTTGTTAAAATGAGAAAAATGCAGTGGTGTTCTCCAATACATTTGCATGAAAAACATCAAAACGGAATTCAAGTGCACCTTGTTTTGTTTTTTAGTGTAACATCCTGATAATTTGCTCTTCGGCAACATTGGCTCTTCAAGTGTTTTCTCCTGCTTATCTATTGACTTTCAATTCTAAAGCTCTTATTTTGATCTCCTTTGCAGCTCATGGATGGTCATTTATCGTTTTTAAGGACAGCTTGTCGACTGTGTGGAAAAGTCCTTTCAAGGAAGTCCGATTTCGCTGACAAAAGTTTATTTAAAAATGAGTTATTGAACCAGTTTCAAATAAACATTGAGGAAGACTTGAAAGAAATTCATCCCAATAGTATCTGCGCTAGATGCAAACAATCACTTTATCGAATTTATGGCAATACAGATGTGCATGCCAAAGTGTCGACCTCAAAATGACCTTATTTGTGGACAAGTCACTCTGAAGGAAACTGTCCATATAATAAGAAAGCCAGAGGGCGTCCTCCAAAAAGTGTTGAAGAAAAGGTTGTGACGAAAGATAACGAAAGTGACACTGAGAGCGGTGAGGAACTTGAAACAGAAGAAGAGAAGAATTCTTGCCAAGAATTCAGTGCACTAATTGAAAACATTCCATTGTTGGACAGAGAGTTGGCCCTTGCATGTGCCACGGAACTTGCTGACCAGTTTAATCTCATTTTTCTGGACAGAGAGAACCTTGAAACATCCATTCGTTCATTCATCCAGTCAAGTTAAAATTAATCTGACTTCAAAAATTTTCCAGCTAGAAAAAGAAAATATCAAAAAGGGTGTCTAGAAAACGACGACCTAGAAAACGAAGACCTACGACCTAGAAAACGACGACCTAGAAAACGACGACCTAGAAAACGACGACCTAGAAAACGACGACCTAGAAAACGACGACCTAGAAAACGACGACCTAGAAAACGACGACAGGAACCAGTTTTTCAGTAGAATCGAAGTGAGAAAGAAAATAATTTAGTCTGTCTATAAATCCGCTTACCTGAAGAATCTGTTAAAAGAATTTATTATTAATTCAAAATATTTCCCCAATTCTGATTGGCTAAAAGCACCTGTTTAATTCACCATAACCAAATTTGGAGAAATTTTGACTTTAACGAGGAAATGACGTCAAAAATGCAGCGTTTTCGCAGGTTAAGGCACCGTTAACCGAGAAGACCTGGGGACGAGGTTGAGTTGTTTTGGTTGTGAACTTAAAAAAATGCCGGCCATTTCACTCTTTTCAAGAGTAAGAACTAGGCGAAAAAATAGCTAAAAACACGGCAAGAACAGCAAGAAGACAACTCGAAGGGCCACATCTGCTATTTGGAAAATATTTGCGGAGCTGGACAAACCTAAACGTGCACTATCGAAGATGAACTTAACATCGATGGATCGATGGAGGTAAGCATGTTTTAGCCATGTTTTTAAACTAGGAATTATTTTGATGATGAATAATAAAACAATTATTGAATTCGGCTTTCGTATCATATGAAGAATTATAGAGATCTAGGAGGATGTTATCCGCCTCGGCCTACAACCTCGACGGATAACACCCTCCTAGATCTCCATAATTCTTCATAAGATAGTCAGCCTCATTCATTAACTGTTAATTATTAACCTGTAAAGTGCGACTGCTGTAACGACCCGCCACAGAAGTAAGTTTACATTGAAGTTTTCTGAATTTAGCTACGAGATTAAGACGATTTGTGTCTGTTTTGATTGCGAATTATAAATGTATTTCTTTTAGATCGAATAATTATTAAAGCTTGGCTTGATATTGTGCAGTTTGTGTTGGTCATTTGAGCTAACTAGTTCTTAAGGAACCCCCCTCCCCGCTAGAACCGGCTGGGGTGGTGGCCAATAAAGTGTTTACTGATCAAAATTATATAGGATTATTTTTCATGAGCGATCCTGGAGTGTGTTTATAAAAAGAGGTTTGGGGGAACGAAGTATTTCTAAAAGTGAAAAATTGAGAAATTTTCGCGCTTAGGCGGAGATGCTCGACTGATTTATTGATAAACGTAAACCTTCGTTACAAGTACCCCGCGAGATAGTGAACTTACGCAACAGGACGGGAGAGGAAAGAAGACGGCAAACTTTGTGTGACAAGCGTGACAATAATTTTGTTTGAACAACTTTTCCGCCGTACTTCACCGTCCTTTAAAAAGGTCTTTTTCTAAAAGACCAGAAAACATTAACTTAAGTGAAGATCACCACAAAACACATACGTAACAGGCCTGTCACGTTTGTCACGCACAGGCGTTTTGCCGTCCTCTTCTTTCTGCCGTCCTGTTGCGTAAACTCACTAGTAGTGTAGGAAGACCTACATCTACTGTTCTTGCGTTATTTTCATAACGCGGTTTATAAAACCGTCTCGCGCATTTTTAAGCAGCGGTTACAGAGCGCCTAGTGTGGTCGCAGGACATTGCATTGTGCATTGCGTGAAAGTGATGGAAGAATTAAAGATGAACCGAAGTGAAATTTTTAATTTTGCTCTGCGGCGTCGTCTCTATTTCACATGATGTAATAATTTATTTGTGAACAATTCAAACGTTTGCGTCCTACTGGAGATCTCACTGCATATATACCACGCTATCGGACCTGTGAGGAAACAGAAACTCCGTGGATGATACGATGAAGGATCGAAATCCACCAATCACAGTTCAAATCTTATGACACGTCAACCTTCATTTTGTCCTACACAATCTTTCACAGTTCTCGTGGTTACCGGTATCCCGCCGTTTCATGGATGGAAAGGTAAGAGAAAATGTCGAAGCACTTTTTACTTTATTTTAAAAAGAAATATATAACCTAATATATATATATATATATATATATATAAACTGTTTGCTTACGGTATTGAGATCTAAACCAAAACGGTACGCCTGATTTATTTCCTGTTTGATTTATGCGGGCTTAAACTTCCCGCCATAAACGACGAACCAGTGAGGCAGAGTATATTATTTAGATTTGATGGAAATTTGTTTAAATTGATATCAGGATAATAAATGGGTCAAAGCAAAGCTTTTGCTTCCAGTAGTCAGTCAGGTTGAATCATGACTTCATTGACCATACTGAAGGAAAATTTGACTTGAGAAACTTTTTTAGTGGAGCTCTCACACGCGCGCGCGCAACGGGAGCACAAATGGTGACAAATTTGGTTACCTTTGCATGGGCGCCATTCCATTCAATCAAAACGTCTGGTTTAAATTTTCGGCAACTTCCAGTACCGAATGGAACCGCATTTTCGCGATGTATACCAAAATTCTCGAAAATTATTTCCGGGAAGTGTTCTTTCCGCATTCATCTTTGCTCCCGAATGTTTAAAATTTCTGGTTGAATGGTTCGAATTTCGGAAAGGTTTCCGGAAGTCTGGGAACTTTTCCGGGAAAATACAGTACCAATTGCCGCTGTTTCCAAAGTTTCTTAAGGTTTGGTTGAATGGAAAGCGCCCAAAATGCATGCAAGAAATTTTGGTTCTGTGAGAATCGTCCGCACGTACTACGATGTGCAAAAAAGTGTGCTGCACGTGCAAATTAGACCTATTGACCTCGGCATTACTTATAACTGGCGGCTAGGAGCGATGTACGTGGGCGTTTGGCGCGTTTGATAAGATTACACTGAGATTTGCTATGAATATGACATTTGCAGCTTAAATAGATAGTGGAAAATGCTATTTTGGTTTTGTCCGGGAATGGGGCATTTTGTAAACTTCTATTAACCCACCCACCCCCCCTCCCCCGCGGGGTTTTTGTATAAAAACCCGGCCCCACTGCAGGGGCATATGCAGCTTTTCCAAAAGAAAATGACGAATGCCCGGGGGGGATGGCCACCCTTGGAATTGACTAAGCCATTACCTACTATTGGCAGACAAACGTTCTTTGCAAATTCCTTTTTTCCAGGAATACCTTCCCTACACAAACCCTTACAATCAGGTGGTCAAATATTAGACACCCTAATTAAAGCAAACAAACAAACCAATAAAGTAAGAAGAAATTGGTAATTTGAATGGCGTGACTTGATCCCTTCACTCACTTTGAGTGCTTGACTGTCCCTGGACGAAAAAAATTATAGGTTTAGGTTTCGATAGATGACAAACGATCTGGGATATATAAGTACACGAGAAAATGTTCTAACCTTCCTTAATCTTGGTATTCCAACTGCTCCAGCATCTAATATGTCGATGATATTCTGCAGACCATTTCTAGTGCAATTTACATCCTTTTTAAATATTAATGACCATTGATTTTCCGTTTTTCTCTTGTTTTTCTTTCAGATGCTTTAAAATTTAATCTTATCGGTGACCGTGATATGTCGTCAAGATTTAAACTACCGGCTCTCGGTAGTAAAAGGTGCTATTCGGCGCCATCCTTGAATGCGTTTCCAGGTCTTAACACATTTGATTATGACAAGCTGGACAAGGTGGTTGAAATTGGACGAGGCAGCTTTGCTGTCGTGTTTTCTGCCATATATAACAACTCAGCGACACTGGGAGAAACTGTCGTTGTGAAAAAGATGCTAGATTTAGAAGATGATGAAAAAGACCTCTTTTTAAAAGAGGTGAAACTGTTAAACACGTTGAAGCATCCGAACATCGTGACATTTCATGGTGTGAGCATTTCTCCTCCAGCCATAATGTTGGAGTACATGTATTTCGATTTCAGTCTCTTTGATAGAGACCACAAAGTTCATTCTTTGAAAGAGTTTCTACATGAACTTTCCGATGCAGAACCCAATACGTTTGCTCATGTAATTCCCGTCATCGCCAGTGATGTAGCTAAAGGACTGAGTTTCTTGCATGACAACGGAGTGGTTCACAGAGATCTTAAGCCCGCTAATGTTTTGGTATCAAACCACCACTATCGTGATCTAGTGGATATGACGTTGATCGAAAAGACTTGGACTGAGATTCCAGTCGTATGCAAACTTACGGATTTCGGGGAAGCTCGATCGCAACTTATCAACACCCGAAACTTTAAAGAAACAGGTGGTACCAGGAATGTTAGTAGAGGTACACCCGCATTTATGGCTCCAGAAGTATTGCTATTGGAAAAAGAGCAACCTACGGCTATGTCTTTAGACCAGTTGAAGAAAGTGGACATTTGGGCCCTTGGACTCGTGTACTTTTGCGTTCTCAACCCAGCTCTGTCGTCGCCGTATACCAACGAATTCAGAGTTAATGGAGTTCTTCCAGGGAATCATTTGCACCATGTGAGAGGCATGATGAAAAGGAAGCAGCTTCCTTCAACGTTGCCAGAATTTGAACAGTTCCAAGGCACCACCTGGAAGAATATTTTCGCTGCCTTTGAACGATGTGTGGCCTTTGACAGCAACAAGCGGCCAACGGCAAGTGAGGTTCTGCAGATGTTAGCGAGCCACGGAAAAAGAGATTCAGAAGAGGAAGTACTCTTAGAGAATAAATCACCGAAGGTATGTCCTAACTATACTAAACTGAGTAATTAGGTAAAGTGCAAACAAATGACTGGCCTTGTCAAGTATTTTCCGCTCATTTATCGCTACTCGTTGCACTTAAGCAGATTTATGGCCACCTAAAGCTTTTCAGCTGAGTACGTTTTTCTCTGGCGAAATAAATTTCACAGCAACATATCGTAAAATCTCTAAAATAAGCCCCGTAGCTTATATTTTTCAAAGGCCGTTTTTGAGGGGCTTATTTTTGGAGGAGCTTATATTCGGAGAGGCTTATCTACGGAGGGAAATTTGCGTTTCAAAATCGATTGGGCTAGCCTTATCGTTGGAAGTGCATTTACCGTTCTTGCTTTGTTTTACTTTGTATTTGAGGGCAATTTTCCAAGTACAAGCGCCCGGAGGCGGGGGGCTTTTAGTGGAGACTTTTTTTTTATGGGCGCTTATATTTAGAGGGGCGTATACATGGAGGGGCTTATTTTCGGAATTTTACGGTATGGGAGTACATGCTGCCCAAAATAAAAATAGGGGCTATGATTGAACTATAATTCACGCTTGTTCATGCTTGAGGAATTTAATATATTTTTAGGACCTAATCATATTTTAACTTATTTTTGTTCAAAATACTTTAAGCGAAACATGCAAAGTCAAACTCCCAACTGTAAAATTTGTGGGAGTTGACGTACCTGCCCCAAGACTTCTCTTCTTTTACCCAGCATAATCAATTGAGTTTAAATTCAAATGGCATTGGATGACGTCATTTGACCCACCAACTTTGGTTAGCCATCTAGGAAGGGCACGAAAGAAGTGTCAACCTCGTTCCCAGGCTTCTCTCTCGTGTCTCTGAAGAGTGCGGCTGGTCATGTGACTACCTCTGACAATTAACTCCTCATCATCATCCCCGGAACATAGGCATGCTTCATTGTAAGGGAAACCGGGGTAAACTCTTTCTGATATAAACTGGGTGTGCTGTTTAGCAGAAGGTTCCTTAAGATTGTACCTAAGTTCAAGTTTCGTAACGTTTTGTGTTGACAGAATTTACCTTTTATTCCTTTTCACAGGCAGAGGCCACACGAAAAGACGCCCTTAAAGTAAACGAGGGGGACAAAATCGCAGTTGAATGCAATGACACGCCGATCTCTCCACCAGGTGTTTGTGGCCCCAAAAAACGCCCAAGAAGTGAAGAGGTGAACAGCTTATCTAAAGGAATAGAGTAATACTAGCAAGCACCACCCCTGTTACAGTTTTCTCTAGCCTTCTTCTCAGAAGTGGTAATGATACCATAACGAAAGTTACGGTACCAATTTAATTATGACCATCGAGACTTAAACTATAATGCAGTATTTTTTCCTTGAAATATCAGACAAAGAGTATATATATGTTCTTTTCTTCAGCAAGACGATTTTCAGCAGGTCAATGGCCCAAGACAAAAGAGAGAAAAGAGGACAAATGCGATGGACGACCCAGAGGCCAGGAAGAGCGCAAGTCATTATGAGGTAGACTATTAGGGAATTTAAACGTGCCGCGGGCACGGTTATTTGTTTGTAGTTTTACCTTGTCCCTAGCTTGTGCTTGTCAACAATCATATAGCCTTGCAAAATAGAAAAGCAACTGTATTCAATGTTCTTAAGTCCTGAAACTTTTGCATTTAAAGACTAGGGTAAACCTTTCAACTTCAATCTTTTCCCTTTTCCAGCGAGAATGTCAAGAACAGAACATGAGCGGACGTCAAATGGACAAACCAGTGGCAGAGGCAGTGAAAGCAACCACGAGTAAAAGCTCTGTCCAGGTTAGTTGTTTGGGAATGTTGTACAGTTTTATATTAACAAGGGGCAAGCTTAAGACATTGGTGCAAGAACTTAATACCTTTTAGGCTTGGTTTGATTAAGCTTCAGACCTGCGACTTTTACTATTTACTCGCTCGCGTCACGCACTGCAATCCTTTCTTTAACTCCATCCCGTTACCTATTCTGTCAATCTTCAACACTTTTTTTATTGTATGATTGACACTAACCAGAAAACTTTGGAAGAACTAAATTAATAGAATCGCAAAAAATTTTTCTTATAGGAAAATGGAATTCACGACAACTTTGTAACAGTGGAAAATGTGGTCCATCCTTCAAGTAAAGATATTAATTTGGTAAGCGCTAGCTATTTTTCAAGATATTTTTGCTGCCAAAGTTGAAAAAGTATTCAACGGCTTCTAACAAAGTCATCTTTTTTAGGTACTTGATGCTAAATTTACGAAACACTCCTTGAGTGAAGACGTTGTGCTCAATTCATCAGGAGAATATATAGATTCGGTAAGTGGGTACAAATTTTTATGAAACACTTATTGCCAATTTTTTTTATTTGACATTCAATTTTTGTTAACTTTCAGGGCAAGAATGAGGTACCTGCAAAGCTCCCCTTGCCAATTGACCTTTGGAGCAGTCAGTCAGTTTTAGGAGATTTGAGTTGGGTAAGTTTATAGTGTATTCTCATTTTTCAAATGAAGTCGCGCGTGTACACCGGATTCTAACAAATCCGTCTTTTTTTTAGGGACACCACGATGTATTTCAGGAAAATTCCGCGCCCAGCGATGATGTAGCTTGTTCGCCAACAGATGTGCCTTCCGTGAGTGTAAGTACTACAATTGCTACAACACTATTATGACTTACACAGTTACGCATTTGCAGCGTTAGGTAGCGTTTTCGCGGATCCCCGCTCCCCAGCTCCGGATAATAGGCTCATTTAGCAACAGAACGGGAACGTCAGTTGACGACGACGCGTGCAAATCAATCAACTGGCTTGTCCAATGGCAACGCGGCAAATAGGGCACCGGAAGTCGTGTTTAGTCCTTTCGGCGTGCTTTCCAGTCGCCAACTTACGTTCCCATCCTGTTGCTAAATCAGCCTAATACCTCTCCGGACATCGAATCTTTATGTGTGGGATGTGCCTCCAAGAATTAAACCTTCTTTGTTCTATTTGTATAAATAATCATGCGACTACGAGTTAAATACGAAGTTTTATTATACGGTCCCAAGCGCAAATTCGTTGGGATGGAAAAAAAGTCCCGTATGAGGGCCGTACTCGTCAAGTGACAGGGCCGGGAAAACGCGCATAGCCCTAGAAAAATGCGCGCGAATGCGAAGGCAAATGATGCCATGATCGCGTTTTTACTCCGTCAGATAAACGCAAAATCACAACAGTCTGATCATAAAATTCTGCGCTCGGTCTGTATGTTCTGACCTCCAGCCAAATATACTGCCGTCCGGCCCTTCCCCTGCAGTCAACAAAGTACATATTTTTTGCACTTGTCCGTTTGTTAAAAAAATATACAAAATTACAGGAACGGAGAATGCATTTAAATGAGAAAAATCGTTGGTATGGTGACCCCATATATGAAAAGCGAACATTGAACATAGGAAACTTCCGGCTGTTACACGTTCAGGCCGTAAATTATACTAGCATTTTTTTGGAGCATTTTAGTGGTATTTCCCTGGAAAAGGTTTTTTTTTTCTCACAGAAAATAAAAATTGAGACTTTCTTTAAAGAGAAATGACCACTTGTACTTCAAATTAAAGAAAACTATATTCAAATTCCGCCTAAATACAGCCTTGTAAATTATCATTGGCTGTATTAAAAATATTTACTTGTATATATTGTTGTCATACCACTAAAAATTTTTTGGTAAAATTAAACCTCTTGAAAAGCATTTCTGTGATGAGCATGATCAAGCATATGCATTTTAGTGAGAAAGTGGAGCATTAAGGTGGAGTATTTTAGTGGGGTAACAAAAGCATAATGTACAATGGCCTATACACGATCACTTAACTGGGGCTTCTTCGGTTCGGTGATGTTCAACTAAAAACCTTTTTTTTTAATTTGAAAATATACAGATTGAGCTGCCTTCAACCAGTGCGTTGGCCGATACTCCTTTCTATAACAACGACAAGGAGCTTCCAATTTTCAACACAGGAAAGAAGGCAAGATATACTATCCCTGAAGCAGCGGAAATATTGTTAAAGAATACTACCACCCAAAAGTGCACAAAGACCCCTCTAAGAGTCAGGAGAAATATGTCTTTTCTTGTGGATATCAGCAAGAACCGAAGGTGGGAAGACATCAAGAGCGATATGAATGGTGCATATACTCACCACTTACGCACAGGTATTTGGACCGTTGACGTTAGCGATGATATGGAGGTAAAAATTCTAGAGAAGCGAAAGGTGGCGCTTGAAGTAGAAGGCCAATTTCATATACACATCAATTCAAAGAGGAACGCATTTGGTTTGAGCCGGTCCATTTTCTTCCTTTCCAATCAGGACGGCGACATACTTCACAACACTTGTTTGTTACAGTACCACATAGACAAAGAGAACTGTAATGAAGTAGTCTTTGATGTAGCACCCCATGGAAATAGAAAGAATGGTGACAAGCCTTTCTATCCCACACAAAAGAGCACAATGCAGGCTATCAAGGAAGAACTCTCCGTAAAACCAGTCTCCGGAGTTTTCAAGATGGTAGCGAGTAGTGCCGGTGGCATTTTGGGAGCTAGGCAACCCGAACAACTACCGAGATCAAAACAGCAGTTGTACGACATCAAGTCCAAAATGAGGAGGTCGGTTGATGAAGTGGAAGAACTCTTGCTTTACTCGAAGAGTATGGACGACCCCATTGTCCTTGAACACCATGATTTACCTGAAGACTTGTGGGTTTTAGGAAAGCAGCACATGTGCAATGACCTGTCACGGTTTTGCTGCTCGGAAGTTATGAGCTACCCTCTAAGTGTCGACCCAACCTTCAACTTCGGACGATTCGAAGTGACCCCATATTCATATAAACATCTTCTGAAATCAAGAAGAACAAACGAAACACCAGTCTTTTTGGGCCCAACGGCTATTCACTACAGCAAAACCAAGCCAGTGTTCAAGAAAATAGCTAATGCTGTGGCAACGAATTCGCCTGGCCTTTCAGAGAAGTGTCGTGGCTTTATCACTGACGGAGAAAAGGCATTACACGATGCTCTGTCTGAAACGATGAGAAAGTCCACAGGCCTTCGCTGTTTCAATCACTTTCGTCGAAACTGCAAAGAAAAACTGAACGCTTTAGGTATTCGGAAGCAGCAAGAACAGAAAGTTTTTCTTGATACAGTTTTTGAAGAAGAAGGCGTTCTCGGAGCCGAAGATAAAACGGACCTTAAAGCTAGAATTCAGTCATGTAAACAGACTCTAGAAGAGGAAGAGAAACAGCTTACGTCGACTTCCAGTCCTCAGTTTTGGACCTACATCTCGAGCCATGAAAAAATGATGAAAAAGTCGATGATTGCTACCGCAAGGAGAAAGGCGGGCATGGCAGACCTTGACAACAAAGGAAAACCTGCTCGGTGCTTCACAAACCAATCAGAAAGTGTTAACAATAAACTCACGCGCCAAAAAGAAGCCATGACTAAGAGCGACAAAAACAAGAGTGACATGTCTAAGCTACAGTTTGTAAAGGATGTATGGCAAGAAGTCGACAGGCAGCAACAATTTGAGATGCAGATGGCGCTGTGTGGCTTAAGTGAAGAGTACGAGCTCTCAGAGATGGCTTCCTATCTACAAGTTAATGCAGAAGACTGGTTTGAATGGAGTGAGAAGACGAGAGCAGAATATGTTCTGAAGTTTAACAAGCTAACTATTGAGGACGTCATGAAAGAGAAACCTATTGTTGTTGCAGCTAGGCGCGATGTTGAAGATCAGGAGGTATATGAGTGGAAAGAGTTTTCTGACGACATCAAGGCTCTTTTTGATATTGAGGGATTATCAGTGGATCTGATGAAAGGTATTGTGAAAGAGGCCGAGAATCTTCTGAACACTCGGGATGCTATTCAGAGAATGCCTTCACTCGACGTGGGCGGCATATGCAAGTATCTGGTAGCATCATCGAGTTGTAGAAAAAAAATGTACGAATGCACGGTCTACCGAGACCACGTGACCTGTAACTGCCCCTGTTACAAATTTAACACGTTATGCAAGCATAGCCTATGCGTTGCAGAGAACTCCAAACTGCTAAATGTACACATCGAGTACTTCAGAAAGACATCAAGACGATTGAAGCCCTCCAAAAGTGGCCTGGTTGTACCGGAGAAAGTAGCTCCAGGAAAGAAAGGTGGAGCCAATCGGAACTCGTGGAGGCCAAGCCATGGCAAGGCAAGTGCATCTACTGCATCGTATTCCAAGAGCCAGAGCGCTTCTTTCCCGTTCAGAGAGATACATCATAACAATCGACCTCTTAAAGCCTGTTTTCTCTCCGAGGAACCTAAAGCGAAAGAATGTCGTCACTGCCGAACGGAATTTCCTCGTCGCACCATGATCGTACCCTTCAATTTAGTGTTGTCGCATGAAGAGAAATGGCTTTACCCAGATCCAAATAATGCAGGAAATAAACTTCCTTCAGCAAAGTACACAACGAAGCATTATTGTATCCGGCGGAATTGCATCATGATTCGATTTCCGTACTTCAACAGCACGTATTTGGAAATACCCGAAGAAGTAAGGGTAAACCTCAAGGAAGCACACAAAAAGCTCATTCAGGAAGAACTCGATCTTTCATGCTGACTGTTAGTATCTTGAACATCGTCTCCAATCGACTCATGTGCATCGCGACTTAGTTAACTGAGGGAACTTGATTTAGTGTCCTAGTTAACGTTAAACTGTACAACACCAGCGGCTGAGTTTGTTAGTATAGCCAGTTAAATTGAGCGCACATACTCGGGTTGGTTCCCAGTGACTCATGTACATCGCGACTTAGTTAACTGAAGGAAATTTCTTTAGCGTCCTAGTTAACGTTAAACTGTACAACACGAGCGTTTGAGTCTGTTAGTATATAGCCAGTTAAATTGAGCGAACATAATGGTTGGTTGACCGTGAATAACCATCAACAACATTGTTGGTTCAATCGACACATGTGCATTGCAACTTATATATAGTTTTCTGAACGAACTTTCTTTATTGTCCTATAATGAACTGTACAACTCAAGCGGCTGAGTACTGTTAGTATAGCCAGATAAATTGAGCTCTTGAGCACACATACTGGTAGGTTGACCGTAAATAACTATCATGAACATCGTGTGCCATTGGCTCATGCACAACTTATTTAGTAAATTGAAGGAGCTTCGTTCAGTGACCTAGTGATGTGATAGTGAATTGTACAGCAAGAGCTTAGTAAGTACTCTTAGGCCTAGGCCTCACGTCCAACGTTTCAAGAAACGAACCAAACTTAGTGAGTTAACTTCATGAAAAGTTCGAGGTCTGGCTCTGTTGAGTTCGTCTGAATGAGTTTGGATCGTCCAACTCGTAGCCTGAATTTCATCCGATTACTTCGAGTCGTTATTACTCCCTCAGTAACGTTGTTGAGAGGAAAACACGACTCGAAGCAATCGAATGAATTTCAGGCTATCCAACTCGGCGTTCTATCCATCTGCTTCAGACAAATAGAACACCTGAAGATCGTCTCCGTGAGAAACGTCGACCTTCATATCCGACAAACTAAACTGATAAATATAAAATTTGTATGATAATGCACGTTTAGCTTGTTCAGGAGAAAATTTTTATTGATCTGATTCAGTTGATTGGTTTCACGCGTCCTCAGTTCGGCGTCTGACGCAAGAGACTATCTAAACTTAATTTAGGTCGACTCATATTAGAATTTGGTTCGCCTCATGAAAAGTTCGCCGTTTGGCCTAGGTCTTAGAAAAGCAAGTTAAAGCTTTATAAACACAGTTTGGTTAATATTATCTCCTTGAATTTAGCAATTTCCTGATTCTGAAGTCTATAGCATTAGCAAACGCTCCAGCTGACAAGTGGAATTGCCTTTTAGTGCAACGTTAGCGTAACGAAATGTATGAATTGTAGCCTAGATCAGTTTGCACGCAAAGCCAGAGCGGAAAGTCTGCATTTGAAAAAGATAAGATAATTTCAGTGTACAATAACAGTTAAGTTAATTTTTTTAAGTTTCATATTTATCGGCAGAAAATTCAGCCCCACGTGCCCTGATAAATAAATGAACTTTTTCCTTTTTGAACGTGCTTTTAAATTATCCCAAGAGTTTCCCTTTGGTTATTAATATCCAGGGTATCATGTTACTACCCAATTACTTCTAATCCAAGCAACGGTACCCCCCGCGGGAGCACTCCGTTATTTTGCTCAAAACGGGTATGTCCCACTGAACGCAAAGGGTATGGTTTTTATGGTCTTGACCAGAGACTTTGCAAGGGGATACAATTTTAACAACGTGAAAGGTTGGCGTGAGTGCTCTACAGTACATTTATTAAGATTTTTTCCCAAAAGAATTTAATCCCATGATGTTGGTTTAAAGAGGTACTTATAATCATTTCTTGCATGCAAAATAAATAAGGGTACCAAAATAAAGTCTCTTGTCTTAAAAAGAGTAGCGTAATTAACGAACAGGGCCTGAGGGCCTTCAAGCTTACGCGGTTAAGCTCTAACCAAACTTCTCTTCAGGTGTCTCCCTTTTCCCTTATAAAGTTCCTCTGCTCAGGTTTTTTTTTTTTTGCATTTTTATTTGTTTGACTATTATTTGTCAAAATTGTTTTTTGGGGTCAACGTTTTCTAGGTCATCGTTTTCTAGGTCGTCGTTTTCTAGGTCGTCGTTTTCTAGGTCGTCGTTTTCTAGGTCATTGTTTTCTAGGTCGTCGTTTTCTAGGTCGTCGTTTTCTAGGTCGTCGTTTTCTAGGTCGTCGTTTTCTAGGTCGTAGGTCTTCGTTTTCTAGGTCGTCGTTTTCTAGACACCCTATCAAAAAAGATATTTCATCCTGTAGTCAAACCTACAAAAGTCTGCCTGTTCTCTTGAAAGTTACACCTCATACATGGGTTCACGCCCGAAATTCCATTATTGCTTCTGCAGTTAATGCACTTGCAAATGAAAAAACTCAACCTTTTCAGAAAGCTGTCAGTGTTGATCCACTTTATTCCCTAGTGCAGCCATCTTTAATTAGCCCCTTGATGTCTGCATCAAATTTACTTGCATACTCAGTCACTCGTAGCAAGCATGTCCTAAATATCTATGGGAAGTTGCATCCTGCTGGTGGTATCACAACTGCCAGAACGTGACTGAACAATTCGACCATGGATGTCCCTCAAGTTCCTGGTGGTGATATTCTTGCTGCTATTGACAATGATCAAGTACTTATCAAAAAATGGAGTGTCCGAAAAGATAACCGAGCACAGATTAGTGTTCTAACCAGTGTTTGTGTGGCTCCAGTCCATCCAGAGGGAACTTTGCAGTGGGACCAAAGTCTTTCTCCAGGGTAGGTAAAAGTGTACATGGTCACTCCAAGTCTGCTACATGTACTTATTATTTCTGTAATATTTTGTTTTTAATTTGCTTTAATATTTTACACTTAAATGTGGAAAAGCGGCAAGCTGTAACAGCTGCACTGATAACTAAAGCAAGGAACTTAATGAATGACCTGGGTTGCCACTGGTCAGGAAATGGTTAGGGAAAAGAAAAATTCCCAAAATTTACATGTAACATGGTCCTTACTCTTTAGGGGATGCAGTTTTCTGGTAATAACAGTTTTGTGTTAAAGCTAAGCGAGAGAGAGGGAGTGTACTTTCCACTGATATGTACAACTGCCAACATTATTTAGAAGTTGTAGAAATAAAAATAGTTATGTATTTCCTAAAAATCAGTAATGATTGTTCAGGGTGTAAGCTCAAATGATGTTTTTTTGTACCAGGAAATGTCTTGAAAGGTTACATGTACAATGTAGCAACTAATACTTCTTGTCACAGCAACATGTTCAATGTATACAATTTATATTTGTTTCAGTTCATGGTCTAAAAGAAGTGAACTTTGGAAGAAAAGTGAAGAGGATAAGGTAAAGCTTTTGGACATGTGCTCTGCTTCAGAGCACAACAAGGGATTGATTCGCCATGAGGTAAAGGCTTTCAGATGACCAAACTTATGTAAGATACTTTTGATTCCTACCTAGGAGACGGTCGATCATTTTTGCTTTCTGTATTGGCTAGCAAGCTACCTCAAACACAAAGAAGTTTCTGTTTTAGCAATCTGTAGAGCTTGTAGCCAGTTTACTGGAAAACAGATTTTGTGGTCTCAAATCACAAGAAATCTACATTTCATGTCTCATGAGAAGTGTGACTGGTTTTCTAACATGCACTGATTTTGAAGGAATTTATTTATAAGCTGTCTATCATAAACAAATGCCTTAACACACATGTACACACAATCAGTAGTAATTTATTGGTGTTGGATTTAACTTAACTTATTAAAAGTAATTTGAATTTAATTTGCTTTTGCATTACCGTGCTTAGTGTTTCGTTTAAATACCTTGCTCCTGCCACTTTCTCCACCAACTGCAACACATTGTAATAATTTTTAATATTGCTTAAATATTGATAAGACTCTTCTATTTTCTTATGACTTGAGAACAAAAAGATGATCCATGAACTTCTTCATGATTTGCTAATGGAGCAAAATAAAGTCAACGGTGAATGAAAAGATGACATTGACCTGTGTGTAGATGAATTAAAAGCGAATGAAGGAAGACGTGTTTGCCCTGTTTGCCAAACAACAATGGAACAGACAAGGAGGAAGTGTGTCAATCCTGATTGCAGGGTCAGCCTTAAAGCTGCTGAAAAGCAAGTTCAGGGGAGCAACATTTTGGGTACTGCACTGATAGCCCCCATTCGTTGTTATCAGCAACGGGTCAAAGAGACCCAGTTTGGATTCACCATTGATGAAAATGAGGACGGACATATTTTTTTGAAAGAGAAGTTGTCAGAGTGCCATGATGAATTTCAGCATGTCCCCTCCAACCATTCTGACCACCCTGTCAAAGTTGTAGCAGGTGACCCAATCTTTTTGTGTTAGTGAGCACTGTATCAAAAGCCATCAGGGGCAGCAGTATAGTACTGTGCAAAAATTTGACTGGGTTGTGCTCCGCATTGGCAAGCTTCATTTAGAAATGAACATGGCACGTCATTTCATTGACTTGAACTGGGAAACATTTCTGTCCAAGCTAGCTAGTAAGTTAGGATTTGTTTCGGAGAATGCCCAGAAGTATATCCGGAAGGGTTCTGATCATCACAAGACAATGTCGGTGTTGAGAGTAGCACACATTGGATTGTGGAAAGAAATGTTAATCCCTTACATAAGGGATAGGCTTGCATCAGGCAGCCCCGAAATTTCTGTCAATGATTACCTGTACAAGTGGATGCCTGAAGTTGGCTGGAAGAGTGCCACCTACAGCTACATCTTTGGAATGACGTATACCTATCTCATGGCTCTCATGGTGCTACGTATAGGTGTGAGAAGGAACAATAGTTCCTACATCAGAGCAGGGCAGTTGTCATTTGCACCTTTGTTCCATAGAAGTAGCTCATCAAAATATGCATTGATAGATCTACACGACAGGTGAGTGGAATTAAATTGTTTGAATTTGAGGCCCATGTCGATCCGTTTGGCTTTGCAGCCAATATTTATGGGTCGCACTGCAAAAATATAACATGGATCTTCAAGGCCACATGGGTGAAAAGGGGTCTGGAGATAAACTGTCAAATGTTGTATTGTTAAGTGTGACAAAAAAACCCAAAAAATTTGAGTAGAGCCTTGAAATCGAAAAAAGGCATAAGCCAGCCACGATTAACTATTGGCCCATTTTACTTGTACATTGTAGCCGTACACACATTTTGTAACTAATAGTAATAAACTATTACATGTAAAATTTTGTACATTTACATGTATTGTAAATGTGTGGGGTCTTCTCTGGAATGCATTAGACCACATTTTAGTGCAGTCCAACTTTAAATAAAGGTCTTGTTTAAAGCAACCTGTTTATTCTCTCTATCCTGTTAATACATGTATTTATAGCATTGACCGTGCTCACTAACCGGGGAAACTCAATCAGTTTGTGGAAACCACAGAATCTGTGAGTACGTCTGGTAACATGAGCAGAGGAGAAGATATGGATGCTTGCCTAGAGGAAGTAAATAAGGACTCGAAAGTGTGGCAGCATGGCAAGATGGTTGCTCTTGACTGGCTCCCAATTTTCAGAAATCTTGGAAATTTTAGCAAGGTTTGTTTACCTTTTTTACTTGCATGTGTGTACATATATATCTGTTAGCAGGCACCAGATAAAAAAAATGCCATCTATGTAATCTGGTAGCTGCTAACAGGGGAAGTAGACATGTGGACGTGTGTTTTCCTGCCGGATGATAATATTATTTTAACTCTTGTAGGCTGGGACATGACATTCATCTTGTAACTAAAAAATATTAATTTTATAATCTTAGTCCCTGTTTGCTGGACTTTTCATACACATGTTGCAGATGAAATTGTAGCAAATGGTGGGACCATCTACATGTATTAGGGACACCTTTCTGTTGTAGAATCACTGTGGCATTTACTTTCAGACATTTCACATAAATATTGAAATGTTTATAACAATATCACTATAGGTGAGAAACTGGTTCTTCACTATGGTTGGTTTACAAAACCCAAAAGAGGAAGCCATAGAGTCTAGAAGAAAGTATGACTTTGGACATGAAGTGCTTGCATGGAGGATAAAGCTTCGAAAAGAAAGTAGTGCACCTCTTTGACCTTTATTGCAGTGTATGATATACCCTCCAAATTTAGACCTAACAATTTTTGCTAACATGATACACGGTAACTGCTATTGCTTTGTATGAGAATAAAGTTGAAGTCATTACCTCAGCTCACAGACTTTTGTCATCTAATTCCCAACTTTCCAAAGTTTGTTTTATATTACAAACCATAATTATTATTATGGTATGGCAAATTTCCCTGTAATGTATGTTGGCCAAATCCTTCCCTGATGATTATTGTATTTTTAATGGTTTACTACAGGTATCTGGAGGGGAACTGTTCAGAGAAGCTAATTTCCTTGGATGGCCTTGAATTGGATAAGGATCTCCCAAACTATGAAGAAATTTTGCAGAATAACCGGAGAAGACTGCTCAGTGAACATTTCATTGATGGCAAGAAGCGAACAGAGGTGGAGGTACAAAGACTTTATGTAACTGTTCAAGAAAGGGCTGTAGCTGAAGATATAAAGAATGCCACCAAGGATGAAATTCTGAAACGCATTGGAGATAAACTACAGCAGATTTTTGATGAAGAGGCAAGAGGACCTCTGTCTAGCAAGATGGAATATTTTAAGGCCCACCCAAGTAAAGCCAAAAAGGATGCACTGCTTGTATTGTACAATGACATAATTGAAGAGCTTCAGCACCTTGAAGCAGTTGATGAACAATGTATTGTGGAAGATGATGAAGATGGAGAGGTTGACTGATGATAATATTGTATATTATGAAGTTGTAAAAATTGTGCTGATCCATAAAACATCCATACCTCCCCCACGGAAGGGATTTTTTAAAATAAGAACCCAAGCCCTTACAGAAATTCAAATTTAACTTCATACATTTTGTGGTTCCTGAAAATATCCACACCCATCACAAGGATGGTCACTGGAAATTCCGAGGGGGAGGGGGGTCTCAAAAGTCAAACTTTTGAAGGGAAAGTATGAAGCAAAACTGGAAATGCCAGGTAGGGTAGGAGGGTCCGAACCATAAAACCATCCTTGGGGGTATGGCTATTTTCTGAACCCACACATTTCTATAGTTTTTTTGGTCTTTGAGGCCCCCAGGAATTTCCAATCCCTTCTGTGGTGGGAATATGGATATTTTCAGTACCTTTTCATTGAGTAGTAAAACAAAATTGTGCTGCTTTTGTCAGTTTTTGTGTCGGATATCGACTCTATTGCACACTTAAATGAAATTTTGCAAACTGCTGGCAGGACTGTTAGCAGGATCACAGTGTTTTTTTTTTCTGTGTATGTATATTCTAGATTTTTATCTGAATAATTTATCCATTTCTTTTAAAAAGTTTCACTTTGTTAAATTTCGTGTATGCATGCACATACTGTACCAAGGAATGCTTCCCTGCCATTGAGTTACAATAGAAGGCCGCATGAAAAGTGATAAATATAACGTGGCCTAGATTTTAATCCACGCTAAAAGTCACATCAGTAGTAATTTAAATGGATTTTTTCCTCGAGTTCAGTGTAAGGTTCTCCTGATTACAAATACAAAAATTTATAGGAATGCACGGAGGAGGGGTGATGGTATAACTGGGGGTGCTTGTCAAACCGAAAACCACAAGACTTATTTTACAACTTTTCAACAAAGAGCCCAGAGCAGTTGGTTATGACACGAATGTTCCTGCTTATCCAAATACTTTCAGCGGTTTGTTTCAAAACTTTCAATAACCATTTACATGTACATCACTTTTATATGTGAGATTCCACCCCTCCTCCTTTTATGCAATTATCGGTATACTACAACAGCCATAAGTAATTTAATGCACTATTTGCTTTTAATCAATGATTTTTCAATTGCTACAGTAGTTTTTCAAAAAATAGTCAATTTAATTTAACAGAAACAATAGCACATACTGAGTTGCCTTGTAGAGCTATGTATTTTGACGGTTCATATGGCTTCAATAAACATTAACAAAACATAACGTTCTGATTGTTTTGGGAAATGCCCAAAAGTTACCAGGAACAATAACAATTTAATTAGCTGACGAGGGTCATTGATTGATCATCCATACAGTATCTGCTATCACTCTTCCTTTCCAGCAACAAAGATCTCTACGCTCTTGTCAGAAATAAATGATATTTTACTCTGTTTCTGGACGGTGGGTACGTCATTTTTCTCTTTGTCGGTGAGTTGCGGCATCGGTTTGTTCAACAATAATTCCTTAACAGGAGTTGGTATCACAGCGTCAAGGACTACCACCATGGTGCAACCTCTTTCTAGAAGGAGGGACGCGAGTCTCACCTCTCGTTGATGAATGCCCTAGAACGCCAGCCAAACGATGATCAATATTGATATGTTCAGGAGTGTCTTCGAGCGGTTCGATTTCAGGGCGATCAGGGTCTGTTGCAGTCTCCGGGGCATCGTATCTGTGCTCGGCTCGGGTGGGCTTAAGTATTCCTTTATTATATGTTTCCAAAAGGCCCAGAGAACCACCGACAAAACGCTGTCCCTTGTGATCGATTACAATAATTACTTCAGCCTTTGTCATGGTGTGAAGAGCGTGACCCTTCTGAAATAAAGTCCCCTTGCGTCGGTATAGCGCGGAAGACCTCGCCTGGGAATTGCTTATGTAGGCCATTTTCTCTTTCCCCCTTCGCGGTGTATTTCTTTTCAATTCGGCCTTTTGCGAAGTCCCACTGCGAGTTCAGTGTAAGGTTCTCCTGATTACAAGTACAAAAATTTATAGGAATGCACGAAGGAGGGGTGAGGGTATAACTGGGGGTGCTTGTCAAATCGAAAACCACGAGACTTATTTACAACTTTTCACGAAAGAGACCAGAGCAGTTATGATAGGAATGTTCCTGCTTGTCCAAATAGGTACCTAGCTACCCGCTGAAAAGATATTCTTTTAATTTTCAGCGGTTTGTTTCAAAACATTCAATAAGCATCTACATGCACACGTGCGTGAACCGGAAAAGGTTTCAACTGGGCAACAACATGAGCATGATGAAAAAAATTACTTACCAAGCTTTGCCTTCAGTACCGTTTACATCAGGGCTTATCGAATTCATGGTTCCAAAACAGTTTTTGAGATCACTTCAATTTTTAAATATAAGACTGACAAAAATGTCCACGCGAAACACTTGCGTAAGAGCAGTGTAATAGGAGTTCTTCACAGCACCACAAATAAACCAACATTGAAACAAGCAGTTATTTCATTGGTAACTAGCATTCTAGAAGTGTCATCTGGACATCTCACCGGAAACGGCAGAGTTGGGTGCCGAGCTGGTCAAAGGTCTCAAATCCTCGGAACAAAGTGAGCGCAATCCTTCAGCATGGCCGCGACAATGGACTTTTTCAGAATTTGCATCAAAGGCGTTCAAATCAAAGGGTAAGTTTTGCAGCAGTGGTATTTTCTGCATAAACTAATTGCCTTACCGCACTTCACGTGAAATTCCTTCAGAAAACAAACCCTTACTTGGCGCTTATCTCCATGGCTTACACTGTTTAATTTGGATAATTTTCAGATACCACCATTTCAAGGTTAAAGCACCATCTGGGACACCATTTATCGTTAGAAAGGAAGCTTACAACGAGTATGATCCCTTCGCACTGGCATGTCTTATCCCTGCCGAATTGGAACTAATTCCGAAGCCTTTGCGGAAAATGGCCATTTACAACAAATCAAAGCGAAAAAGTTACACTTTGGAAGATGTGCGAGGGTCTCAGATCGGCAGAATTCAATATTTTTTAAACAGGAAGCTATCCTACCTTCTGGAGTGTGGCAAGATATTGCGCTTTGAAGGGTAAGTGAATTATCGGTTATCTCCTTTGTCTGAATATTTTTCTGTGTAATAAATTGAAACGAAGCTATTCAGTTTACTTGTACCGGTGAACAGTTTTGGAATTCGTCGGCCTGAATTTTTTAATCTGCGTTTGTCTCTTCTTTCTAAGGATTGTCAACGGAGAACCAACAGTTTCTGTTCGTCCCAACACAGCCCAAAAGTTCCAAAGAAATAAACAGGCTGGTGGAGGGGCTTACATCCCGGCTACTACTCACGTTAAAGGTCCACGCGAGCACAAAAAGGCTGTGCTCAACAGAGTCCGCACGTCCTTAGCGGAGTGCGAGAATGGAGAGCTGATGACAATTGATATCGAAAATTAGAACACACAATGATTCATGACGTACAAATCCAGAATTAAATGTTGTTTCTCGTTAAATTATTGTCAATTTTGTGTGTATTTTTTACGGTGATGTTGTCGCGTTGCAATATGGCCGCCGTGCACAAGGTTTAGGTTGCCCCAGTTCCTCTCGGCCAAATTTCTTTGTTTTGGTTTTGCCTTGACCAATCATATTGCAAGAAACCATATAGACAAAACTGTCTATGGCCCGCACTGATAATAGTAAAAAGAACATAAAATTTTAACCCGATTTTAACGCTTTCAGCACGTTAACAAGGGAATTTAAAAGCCTCATAATAACATGTGCCTCCCAAAGTGTGGACACAGGAGCGTGAAAGTGAACAGCGTGGGATATCTGATAACGTATAGTCTGAGAAGCGCACAAAAACCACAGTACAGTATAATAATGTTCTAACCATGTTTTCTACAGGGAGACTCAGCTTCAAGGTCCCTTATCCTTTCACATGATTTTTCACGAAAAAGATACCCCATTATAGGGAGTCCCCCGGGATGGGCACACACAAGCACACACGTCATTCGTACTTGAATTCGTCCATTAGCCAATGCAAAAATAAAAAAATAAAAACAATTGTTCTTACTCAATACCGCGGAGCACCACGGTCATCATTGGCAGTCATCCCGAGGCACCTGGTTGCGCAGTTCGCAACGAATGTTTTATGGTTGTCGAGGTAGCGAAATACTTGCATTAGTTCTTCCGTGCTTCTACTGAAATCGTATAAAGCTTTGTGTCGTTGCAAGGAGGACGGGTTTATTTGCGCGGTGCTGTTTGTTCTGCATTTGATGCTTCTTTACTTTACCCAACGGTTACGAGTCCCCTTCCTTGGCGCAGTTGCCACGTGGTGAAAGTAAGTAATGGATAATTTGTTCTGAATTGTTTTTCAAAAATTAAAACTCAACAGAGACCTTAACGCATGGGAGGTATTGTCTCTTAGTCAGGCAAATTTTTCCTTCTTTTCTTTTATTTCCCAAGTGGTTTCACGCTGTGTGTACGAGGCCTTTCTCTTTTACCTAACAAACCATGAAAGGCCGATAGACTGGACAGCTACTGTTCTTCAGCGTTACATGGATAAAAGGAGATCAAAAGATGGTCAACATATAGATTTTAAGGTCGAGGCGCATAGGAAAAATTTCATAAGGAAAGCCAACAGGCATGCCATTCTCAGCGTTAACGGTAACAATTTTTTGGCCAAGCTGGAAAAGTGCGAGGATACTTCTACAGAAGATAATCCAGTGTACGTTAAGAAGTGGGTTATCTGCGAAGACGAGTACGAAACTCTCCTGAAAGATCACCATGACGGAAAGAACCATCTAAGGTTCATAAAATGTTACTATGAGGTGCGTATATATTTTTGGTCATTTTGGTTTTGGAGTCTATTGCTACTGTGGTAACTCTACGCATAGAAAAAAAAATTTTTCTCTCCATATTCTAAATGCAGCAAATATATGCCAAAGTTGACTCCAGTATTTTGCGCCTCTATATCAAGAAGTGCAAGTGGTGTCAGACACACAAGGTAAACAAGGGTATTCTTTCGATTCGCTGATAGGCAACGGAAAGCGGTTTTCATGACGAAATATCAAATTTTTTTCGGAAATAAGTATAATTATGTTAAGATAATTGTATCATTAACACAAATATATTACAGCAAAAACTATGCTTTAGTTCCACCTCCACAAAGAGAAAGCTTATTGAGAGGTGAGAATAGCCACTGAAATACATATGGCTAGTGGTTCTGTTAAAATGGGCACCATTTTTACGCTGCTGCTAATTTTAAAGCTTTACAATTTAGAGACGTTCATGAAAAGTAACTTTGTTGTTGAAATTTCTACTCAAAACTGTTTCATATATATGTCGGAGATATGTGGGTGCTATTCTGCGAATTTCAGCCTTTCCATTTTTTTTATATAAATATATACAAATAGCCTTTATTTACTTTTTCGTTTCTCAAGACCATACTAGGAAAGAAAACCCACAATACACCAATATGTGTATACGGTGTTTTTGAAAGGCTGGGCATCGACCTGACTGAATACACAGACACTCGTGCTGGAAAAAAAGAGAAACATAGTATTGGCGATGGAAGATTATTTCTCAACGTGGGTTGTTTTTCATGCGAAAGATGCCTCTTCTGGAAAAATTACATTAAATGGGTATCTTTTACCTCCTTTCCTCTTGCTTTACAGATTTTCGTGGGCCAGGATTATTAGAAACGCGACCACCGAAGAAATAGCTCTACAGTTGTATGACCTATGCTTGGGCTTAGCGTTAGTGCCCAACACAATCCAGACTGATAACGGAAAACAGTTTGTTAGCCATGTTGTAAGGTTAGAGATCGTCTTTACTATATGATAATTGAAAATAGTTAGAGTTTTTCTTACTTTACATGCCAGTGGATGGGATTTCCCCGGAACGCAATTAATAAGTTACATAACTCGATTTTCCCGAGGGGACTGCAATAGACTTGCCCCACCCCTTTTCTCAAACTCTGGATATGGCACTGGAAAGTGTGTTTGTGTGTTTTATCCTCAGAAATCTAATGGAAAAATTTCAAGTACAAGTCAAACTGGCCAAGCCTCGAAGTCCCTGGACAGGTGGTCGGCTCGAAAGGGTAATTCAGTCCCTGAAGTAGATGCTAACAGCTAAGTTTGACGAATTTCCAGACTATTCCGTAGAGTTGGCCCTAAAGATTTGTCTATTCGACTATAATACGTAAGTACACGATTTTCTGGTTTTCAGTTGTTAAGCATTTTAATCACCAGTGTTGACCTAAGTGTTAGTTTTCTAATATTTTGTGTTTAGTTTTTTAAATACATCCACCCCTACATGATTAACTTGAAAGCTAAGCTCCTCCGACTGGAAGTGAGGCCTTTGCCAGGCATCAAACATTTTTTGACATAGCAAATTAGTATTGCTAACTATTATTAATCTTGTAGAGGAGATTGTTTGGAAACATGGGCAGAGCCTCTTTCTGTTGCAGCTCATCGCTGAAAATACGCCTTTGGTTAAGTTCACTATCGAAATGGGGCATTGGAGGGGTGGGGCGACTTGACAAACGTGAACAATGCCTGAACAGTGATGCATTACCATTTTTAATTAAAGGACGCGAGAGACGATGGGCTGTTTGAGGGGATGTGCAAGTCTTCAAAGAAACGTTTTATAGTCGTGTGCATGACTCCAATGCAGGTAATGAAAATGGGAACGTCTTCACCTACAGTATCCTTTTCCTCAACTAACATATAAATCAAGAAATAAAACTATTTATAAAATCCTGCCACTATGCTTGGTCATCTAAAGCGTGCTTTTGGATGGCGTCAAAGTTGGTAACGTACTGTTGTTTCGGTTTTGAGATGAAAAATTCAATATCCGGTTTTTATTATAAGTGGGTCTTGGGTAGGCAAAACAACGCAGGATGCGGATATTATTGCGTCTTCTGTTTCAGGAGAATTAACTTAAAGCATCCAGCCAGTGTAAATTTGTACATTCTCGTCGAAGATACATGGAAACAAAAAGGATAAATTATTGTTCAAATAACAGCATTAAATGATTTTCTTAAATCAGTGTCCAGTGTCTCCGTGTAACTATCTAATCGTGCCAGCCAACTGGGAGGAAGGCGAGTCACTGACTCGTTTATTGGAGGTCGTGAAGACAGGAGTCACCAAGGTAGAGCAAAAGATATTCTGATATTCATTCCATTTGAAATGTAGTCAATGAAACTCGATGATCTAAGAAGTTCTTCACGTGTTTATACCTGACCTTTTTGCGACATAGCCTATTCATGTTTTAATTTCTGTTTTTCTTTTCTGCATCATAGGATATAGAACTATCTGTGGCACCACGAAGAGTGATCAAGCATAGAAGACCTGCAAACGTATTTGCTATTTGCCTGAACCGTACAGTTAACGTAAGAAAACCTGAAGTTGTAGTTACATTTTGAAATGCATCAGCACATGATGTTTGGGTTACCAAACGTGACTTTTAAAGATTTTTGAAAACCAACCATTAAGGTGCGCTTTATTTTTAATTTTCTTGTAGGCTAAAGTTGAAATTCCATTGACGTTATCAGAGTTTTCCCTTTCTGGTGAATTAATGCTCCTTTACGGGTCCAGTGCTAATAACGTGATATTGTGGGGAGCAAGACGCCATGAATTGGGGGATTACACCAGTATTGTGAGGATTACAGTGACTTCCCACGAATGGTTAGTGTCACACATACGTTTAATCCATCCTACATCTACCTGTCGTTTCTTGCAATATCATTATTTTCCCATTCCCAACTACCAATAAAATTTGAATAGGTTACAGTTTGACAGGGACCGAAAGCCAGTTATTCTACAATAAGAATGTGCTGTTAAAGAGTTGCTGAATTGTAAGTCTTGTATCCTTTTCCTTGGAGTAGTGTGGAAATAAAAAATAACTCTGCTATATATCGATGAGAAAAAGATAGTTTACAAGTGACGAGGTAGAGGACCTCCCGAGACCTGACAAGAAGAGACAAAAAATACCACCTACCGCAACAGTCACTACTGTGCAGCCAGTGTCCTCACCCCGCAAACGTCCCGCAACAGACAACGAGGTTGCTGGCAAGGCCGACACCTCCCAAAAAAAGCACAAAAAAACTTTGCCGCCAGACAGAAGTGGAGAAGGAGGCGGAACAAGTCATCCCCCCAACCCCGCACAAGAAAAAGAACAAAAACAAGAACAAAGAGAAGTACACCGGGGCCTGGCTTGCAGACTTGGCCAAAGACCAGGACCGCCTGTACAACAACCTGAAGAAGACAAAAGTCGCTCATGTTTGAACATTTCTTTGAAAGACATTCCATTTTTGAGACATTGTACTTGACTATTAGATAAGGAAAGAACACGTTTCAAGTTTCAGTTGGGCACTTCGCCACTATTCCTGTAATACGACAGTCATATTAAAAGT